TAGAGAAATAATTGCTGCCTTCCCGATACGAACCTTCAGACGTGCACTTCGTAAATATCTTTTTTCATAAGATGTAGATATGTGTTAACTGTTGACTTTTTCTTTTCATCGCTCCATTGTTTAAAGCATTGTTTAAAGTTCTTATCAGAATCTTATAGAAATCTTATCATTTTCTTATATAAGATTCTTATCAATATCTTACGCATTTCCATCGAGTGCCTTATATAACATTCTTATAAAATTCTTATAAGAAGCTTGCAGATATTCTATAAGATTCCTATAGGAATCTTATATAAGATTTGATCTCTAGGGTTAGCTGCTCTATGTGATCATTGCCCAACGTATGTTCGTCGAAACCATTCTTTGAATCATTGAAATGGAAGTGATCAAGAACAAGATCCTTCAGTGAATGAATCAAATTCATTACCGGAAACAAATAAACATTTCAACGTCAAAGAAATACTTAAAAAGACTATTAGCATAACTTCAACAACATATTAATCGTAAACTTTTATTGCACCTATCCCAAAAAAGGAAAAACAAAACAAAAAGAACAACATTATACTATGCGTACTGGAAGACCAGAAATCACGTCCGCAACAAATCTACCCTGTCGTCTTCTCACCACACACACTCAGTAAATTAATATATTAAATTCTTTCTTTAACGAAGTCTATGCAGGTTGCCAGTGCCGACACATGACTGATTCTTTGTCTATTAATTCTCTTGAAGGAGAAATAGTTGCCTACTCCTAGTAGCTCAGCGGGGTGGTATTCGTCCCAATAAAAAACATCCTCGAAGATAGGTGATGTACTGAGGTCCGAGTCATAGCTTCGCCTCAGTCTTCTATCAAGGAGTTTAACTATGTAATCCTCCAGCTAATCTTCCTTGCAAAACTCGAAAATTTCCTCTGCTTCGACAAGTAGATAATTATGAACTATCCTCAGCCCTACTCTAAATATACGGTTTAACAGTTCGACGTAAGTCTTAGGTAAAAGGGGTAGATAGGAAAAATACCAGAGAAGAAGGGAAAAGAATAAGCGAAAAACCACTGCCGTCATAGTTTAATAGAAACCGCATCGCCCTTGGATAGCCATTTTAACTTAGAGTAAGATTTTCGAATTTTATCTATTGCTGCGTCTACTGTTGGTTTAAACGACATTTTATCTGAGGCGCTGAAACCTAAATATTTAAAAACTACTACTTGCTCTAATTTGGGACTTGCCAGTTTTAACAATACTCGAGATCTCAGAATCTGACTATGAAACATTTGGTAAACTGTTTTGTTAAAATTAATAGGTTATTCATGGTCAATTGAATGTTGGAGAATGCGGGCGCATACCCGATTACCCTCTTTTTCGAGAAACTCTAACATCTCCTCTAACTGGTGGAGTTATTGTAACTTGAAGGTCGTCGGCAAAAATTCCGGAAGAATGTGCGCCCAACGTAAGGGCGCAGTCACAGTGGAATATGATAAATAGAAGGGGACTTAAGGAGCTACCTTGAGGAAGTCCTATACCGATTACACAGCAGTCTGAACTAATTTTTCCGAAAATTATTCTTGTCGTTCTCTCGTTTAACCAGTTTCAAACTCCCTTTAATAAAGGTAATGGCATTCCTAATTTAAATAATTTCGTAATCAGGATTTCGTGGACTATTTTGTCATAAGCTTTCTTATAATCCACATATATAACTAACGATGGAATATTCGCGCTTTGATTGTTAGTTATCACCTGATACATTGAAAGAACCCTAGTTGGTATCAGACATTTAGCGCGAAAACCTGATTGTTCAGGAGGTAGAATAGAGTTACTATCGGCCCATATCCTGATTCTTTGCATAAGGATTTTTTCATAAATCTTCGAATGAGTCGATAACAAGGAAATTGGTTTCATCTGCTCACACGTGGGCATTCAGGTTTTTAATTTGTTTAATATAACGAATTTTGTAGTTTTCCACTGAGCTAAGAACGCTCCAGTTTTTAACCACTCGTTAAAACACTTTACCAGACACTCTACGTAACATTAACGGCAGGAGTTTTAACATGAAGTTTGATATATATTATCATCTCCGGTGGATTTTTTTGCTTTTAATTTTTTAATAAGCCGACTAACTTCTAATACCGATGTGTTTCCGACCGTTTCCTTGCAGTTCTCTATTTGTTCTAATATTAATTTAAATTCGGTATCAGACGTGCCAGATGGTCTTGGTAGAAATTTATCTTTGTAGTAGCAGAAAAGACTATTTTTAATCTCAGTTTTATCAGAGAGTATTTGCTCATTAACTATTAGGTTAGAAATTGGGAAGCGATTTAGGAAGGTAAATTCTTGATAGAAAATTCCAGAATATCGGCTGTGATTGAGTGTGAGCGTTATTAATGGTTGAGAGAAACTTACTCCATCTTTTAGTTTTATACAAGGAAATTTCTTTCCTCACTAAACGATTAAGCGACGATTAAGCAAAGCAATTCTATCCGCTTCAAAATGGTATCTATAATAGAGGTTTCTCAATTTGAGCATGCTTTTTAGGTTAATTAAAATATGCTCCGGGAGAGCTGGCTTATATTTATCTCTACTAATCCAGCGTGTAAGCCTAATCTTGAGTGTAGACAAAAATTCTATGTATATTTTGTACCAATCTATGCTTAGCAACAACTTCTGTTGATCAGTCCAGAAATTCTGTAAAAGTAAAAGGGTAACTTGATAAACCTTCCAAGCCGTAATTGGAAAAAGACCATTCGTTTTAAACACCATACTATCGAACTTATAGCAATTTGGCCAGTAGTCACTGGATCCAAATTTTAAAGTTTCACCTTTAACTCCACCAAAATTAACAAAGGTTAGATCAATATTCCGTTTCGATCTTTTCGAAGAATTAAAGATATTCTTTACGTAATCAAAGTGATTCTCTTCTATCCATTCTGATAGTACTAGCCCGCGTTTAACTGATTCAGGACTACCCCACTCCAACACAGCCGCATTAAAATCGCCAGTAATGATCGTATTCTTTGTGATAAAGGATTTAAGATCGTCTAAATTTCTTGTTTGTCCTTGCGGCCAGTAAATATCTATCACCCTTAATTCCTCCGTAAGACCGACTATATCAAACGATAACTGTGTTAGGAATTGAATTAGTTACACTCGATCCTTTAAGGTGTCTCCCTAAAGTCAAGCATACTCCTCCGTTCTTATTTGTCCCTTCTTGATAAAATATATTATGATCTGTCATTTGAAAATCTTTCCATTCACCAATTTCAGAGCAAAAACAAAAGGACGAGTCAGTCTTATGTATGAGTTCTAACACTTCCAGACCTCTCGTTAATAACCCTTGTACATTATAAGAGGTAAAATTTAGGGGAATTTGATGAATTTCTGTGACAATATTAGAGTTCCACTTATTCCACTTAGACAGAGTACTCTCCAAGGTAGAACTGGCGTACCATTCAGTAAGAACTTTCAAAGATAATTCGCAATCTTTTTCCTTAAACCCCCAGTCGTTCATCTTCCTTTTAACCGAAGGGTTTAAAACCATCAAGAAGGTTCACGTGTGTCTATGATTTGAGGCGCTAAGTTGTTCACGATACTATGACTGATACCTGAACTAGATGTAATACCCGTACCGTTATTGTTATTTTTGCCAAAATCTGGACTTCGTTGGATCCGCTCCGCGAAGGATTTTAATATCACTAATATTGGTTGAGTGATCATTTTCAGTTTTTCAGTATACTGATTTATCAGCTGTTGTTTCATTTCTGCCTTAACATTTGACTGAGATAACGCTGTTGATACTACCATTTCAAATAGTGATGTAATAGCTGGTAAAAAATCCATAAATACTTTTCCTAATTCATTCATTTTATTGTCAATTTTTTCATTTAACTTTTCCATTTCACTAAGAATACTACATCCGCGTTCTGTTGATTATCTTTATACTTGTTTTTCACCCAAGATGCTGATGCTGATGCTGTATTATTTTCATTTAAGTAAGGAAATTCGTTAATATTTCAGACAGAGACGGAGGTTCGGTTGTCTACCGATATAGCTTGTAACTTTTCTTTGTTTATGGCGTGTTTAACTGCAGCATTCAATTGTTCCCGGTGATTTTGATTAATGTGACAATCTGGAGCTGTTGAAAGGTGGTTTCCCTCGCATTGAGCGCATTTTGCATCCATCGAACACGTATGTGTTTGATTGGGAGTCAGATAATGCAGGCAAATTTTACACTTGAAATATTTTTCAGCACAGTCAGCCATACGATGCCCAGTTGACCAACATTTTGTGCAATAAAGTATACGATTAGCAGGAACATATTCTGTTATTGGACATATAACATTTCCTATCTCTAATACACCTTGGTTTAATGCTGATTTATATTCCTCTGGATCTGAAACATCGAAACGATAGTCCAACGACTTTTTGGGATATTTGCTGACCAAAACGCGAAAGTTGGTTGCTGATGCAATAGAGTATTTAATATCCTGTTCCACCTGTACTTTAGAAATTGATTGAGGAACATTACGAAGTACTAATGAAAATTGGCCTGGTACAAATTGTGGTTTTAAAACTGTAATCATCTTTGTTTACTGGTCTAATTAATGAGAACCCTTGAAATTTAACTCCCGCTTCCCATAGGTCTTTTTGAATGAATGATTTAACATGCATGGCTCCCGGCAACCTATCTCGACGTAGATTTTCTTCTTTTCAAATTTAATTACGAACGGGGGTAAATCGTGTGTAATGGCATATTCCAACAAATTTAGTATATTCATAAAAAATAAATCAAATATAGTATATTCATTTACATTTAACTGATCATCAGTCTTTGATTTTTTACTTTGATTGCCATCGAACAACCTTGGACTTCTCTGTTGAACCTGGTTTTGACTTGGAAATGACTGGTAAACTGGTTGCTGTTCATAAGTAGGTTGTTGTTGAAGTTGTATTACTTGAGGGTATTGTCCTGGTTGCCACCACTCGCCAGCCCTGCCACCACCTCTGTTGTTCAAGTTTTTATACTCTTCTAGGTTTTTTTTTAAAAAGTTTTAAAAATATCGAACTTTTTACTCTTGTTCTCGGAAATAAATATTCGAAATCTATCGCTCTTCATGCGTAACTACAAGATTGTCATTTTTGGTTCAAAAATACAAATTAACGATAAAATTTCTAAAAAATTCAACCGTTGAAATTAAACTTTAGTTCTGCTGATATTTCTTCTTGTATATACTTTCTTTATACTCTTTTTCTTGTCTGTCCACTCATTAATTGGTAATCATTGCTAATTAATTCCTATATATTCTTCTTATATATATTTTCTTTAATTGATTTGGTGATCAAAAGTGTTATTTTTTGGTGATCATTTCGATAGCAAGAAATTTGGTGATCAAAAAACAATCTTTTTTGGTGATCAGAAAAATACATACCCAAAATACATATATATATATCAAAAACTTCACTTAGTCCAGATCCACCGTACTTCATTCAACTACCTTCTTTTACTTTAGCTACTCAATGTCGTTGTGGTCATCATCCAAACCATTCATTACCGATTATTGTGGTCGTCATTGTCATGATGATACTCATCTTCTTCGTTGTGGTCGTACTGATGGTACTTGTTTTTTTTTTGGTGGTCGTTATTGTTGTGTTTGTAAAAAGTATGTGGCTTCGATGGTTAGCGACTAACGTTTCAAATATGGCATTCGTAAGAGCAGAGTCTCCGCTTTCATTGATCTGGTTGGTTTAGTGTGTAGTCTTTGGTTTTATGGCTACACCGCTGTAGAAAATGTACATCTGGGAAACAGCTATCTTATTCTTTGAAGAACTTAGGGTAATGGTTTTTATTGAAGTATTAAAGCTTAAATTAAATTAAAAAATAGTGTTAAAGCTTAATCAGGTTGACTGTGGTAAATGTCTAACATTCGTTACTGTACCAGTGTACAAAAGGAAGATCATTATTGTGTCTTCTTTTAGCTGAATAGATTCGTCCATAGGTGGATGTTGCAGATCAATATGACCGTTGTTTTGCTTTCGTTGTTGATCTAAATTATTATTTCTTTGCAATGCCTCATCACTTAGAGCGAAAAGAAGGGAAATTTTTAAAGGAGTTCCTCCATAGGTTGAGAGATAATCATGAGCAAGGTCACTGGTCACATAGCATGTTTCACGTTTGAACTTCGAAGATACGAGATACTTAAATAAACATATAATGTGGATCATTCATTAACTATATGATCAATGACATTGCTTGAAAATATTTTTAAATTCAAGATTACGCCTTTTCCACTACGCAGATAATTGTCGACATTTATTACCTACTTTTTCCTGTAAAGGAAGCACTTTCAACGTACGTATCGACATACAGATACAAAACAACGGTGATGCCAATAGGCGAATAGTAGCCGCCATAGCGGAAGGAGCTCCGCAAGGATAATAAGGGTCCATTATTCAAGTAACGTCAGAATGAACTGTTGTTTTGAAAACTGGACTGAAGTGTAACATCAGAAGCGAAAAGAATGAAAAAATTTTCCCTGTTTTGTGGTCACATATGTAAAATTTATAGTAAAATCCTTTTTTGTTTCGAATATGTTTCAGCACAGTCAAACTTCAGGTTTCTGCACTCTCAAGTGTAGCGAGTAAGAAAAAACGGAACACTTTCACTTCAAATAAATACTACAATATTACCTTATTCTATACATTACCTTATATTCCAATTTGTAAGCCGTAAAATTCTCTGTCGAATGATATATAGTAAGCGTGATTTGCTGTGAAACAGAGAGACAAAATATAACAATTCCATCGGTGAAAGTCACCGGAGGAGGACAAATTCTAACCCAGGTCGATGAAAACTGTCATTTAATTGTCCATTAATAGCCTGTTAAGTGTATGCCAAGAAATGGCCTGTTAATTGTGTAAAAATGGAATGAAAATTGGCATTTAACAGCCATTATAATGACTTTTTTTGACTTTGAAATAACGGTGAAAATAATGCCATACTATAGGCAATATCCGAAAAAATGGCATTTTCGTCCATTTATTAAACCGCATTAACTAATGCCAAATAAAGGTGTCTGTTACATGTCCGCTTTGAGGCAGTTTTTTCTCCATTTGAAAATGGTAAAAAATGATCATAAATTGGCATTTAACAGCCATTTATGGTATGGTCATCAAGTCATTCACCGTTTTATTCTGTCATCATGACTAGTATAAATGACTCTGATTTTATATAATATATATTATAATTTAGAGTTTTTCTCTTCAGTTATACGAGTCGTAGAAACTTGTCTCGTAGAAGTGGTCTGTGGTTCTTGGATCGGTGCTCGTGATAGTACCTCAGGTTTTAGAAGACATTTTTTTGACATTTTCTAACGGACTAAAACTTGACATTTAAATGGCAAAAAAATGTGATCAGACGGTTACTGGCAGCAGTTAAATGCCTGTTATTTGGCCGTTTTATGACATTTAAAAACATACGAAATAAATACATTTAAACATTGGCAGTTTTAATGGCAGAAAACGGCCTAAAAACTGGGTCCACTGTCATAAAAATTCCATTTAAATGTATATTAATATCGTATTAAATGACATTTAATTGGCAATTAATTACACCGTTTTCGACGTCCTGGGAGGTGTCAAAAAGGAATTTTGAAGCGGCGGTAAGATGGCTGTTTAACTGCCAAACGTAAAATACATAAAATACATGAATATAGGCAAAATTTTAGAGGCGGTCGATTTGGCCTCTCTTATCGTCCTCCGTTTCTGTGTTTTTTTGTTTCTGATGTTTTCTTTCTAAGTTATAGGGTTTGAAATAAAACCAAATTTTTGCCTGAAGTTTTTACAATTTTTTTATCTATCCAGAGGGAAATTTAGAAAAGAAAACAAATTTGCATTCTGATATCACGAATTCAATCATTTATTCAGGCGCGAGGTGAACGTATTTGTTTTTGTTTTCTATTTTCGTTTGTCTACAAAAATCAATAAAGTTTTGGTGAAATTAGTACAATTATATTAAATTATACTTCATTGTTTAGTCTAATGTAGAGAAACAACTGTATAACAGTTTCACAGAGTTGCTGGACACAGCTGTTGTGTACAATGGGAGAAAACGTATTAAGCCATTAAAATCCGAGTCGTCTTCTGCTGAAAGATCATTGAGCGATTCCACTGTCTGTGACACGAGTGATAAAGTCGTAAGAGCAAAACTGACAGACGCTGGTCTGCAATGTCTACACTTTTCAAAGGACAATAGCCATTTAGGCTTTCTTTGTCGAAAATACAAACAACTTTTACATCTTCAGTGCAGCATAGTTTGTAACAATCAGCCTCCCGTAATAATGATGTATTTTCACAATAATTACTTTATACCTGTCTTAATGTGTACGTTATTTCGTATAAACATCTTCTCTCAGCTCTCTCAAAAACGCGGACGGACGTTTATTGGTGACTGCCTCACACTCCCCCGTACGGCTTCAACGTAAGCTTATCTGCCTCGCCTTGTTGAAAATGCAAACAGGTTTAACTACCCCACTTAAACTATAAAGTTAAATTCTTTTTAGCACTTGTTAATAGCACACCTAAAGGAGAAAACCCAAATAAAACAAAACCAAATAATAATACCCAAGCTGTTGACGATTATTTTTTCCTTGCTATAAATGGCCAAGATTCAAAAATATTGAAAGGAAATAACATGATTCTTAATCAAACGGGCGTAAATTTTTCTCGTTTGAGTATCACTTCTATAAAAAAAACGTAGTTAGCTCTCAGAGTGCTTGTGGGATGGCTGAAACAATACAGCATTTCTTCTTGAACTGTCAGTATCACCAGCCAATACGAACTATCTTTGAAAATGACTTGAACTAGTGGAAACGATACTCTTACGCTTGAATACATTCTCGTTCTAAAATCTGCACCATTTCAAACGTAACAGAAATGAATGAACTATATAATATCGTAATTACCTTTATTCGCGACACAAAACGATTCTAATTTCATGATATCCTTTTCTACTCTTTGTTTATCAGTTATTTACTTTTTAATTATTCCTGAGAAATACTTGTTTAATGTGACAATCTTTACTACCTTCCAGTCGTCCGGGTAAAAACTACTTTTTAACCACTTGTTGAAACACTTACTCAGACACTCGACGTAGCCTATGGGCAATAGTTTGAGCATAAAATTAGAAAGTTCAGCTACACCCGCTGAAGTTTTTGGTTTTAATTCGTTTATGTATTTTTTTACTTCTAAGACTCCAGTTGCCCTTATTTTTATCCATTTCACTTATAATCATCTTATTTTATCTCCATAAACTGCTTATCATGTTTATCTTGTAAATCTATCTCCGGCGGCTTACCTTGCTCAGCATATATCTACCCAGGTGATTGAATCGTACTATCCGATCGTACAAGATCTTATACGAATCGTATGAAATCATATACGATTTACATACGAATCGTGGTATCTGATTTGTCATCTGGTTCGTACCATACGATTTCATATGAAGTTGTATGATCGTATATGATCTTGTACGATCGTATTATACGATCCAGAGGGCAAATCAAATACCACGATTCATATGTGATTTTTATACGATTTGGTCTGATTCAGATACGATCGTATACCATTTGTTTGACTTGGGTATACAATTCTTCTAGCACTACTTTAGGATCGGATACTATGCTGTTTCCTATTACCAGACGTCAGAATGGTAATATCTTTTTGCGGTAAAGCTGTCCTAAATAAGACCAAAATACTGGATTGTCTTTATCGTGGTGCTAAAAATTGACTCCACCTGTTTGAGCAATACTTATAAATTTCACTTCTCACCTCTCACTCTAACGTTCTAATCATTGTTTTTCCTTCTATACATCTATTAAAGGAGTTCCGATGCCGATAATAGCCATTCTTGATCTTTCTTAGTCTTATCAATTTTGATGAAAAATCTGATGAAAAATATTAGAATCAGGAATTTAACAATAATTTTGTTCTTAGCTACATCAAGAACATTTAAAGAACCTTTCTATGATGGTTCCGCACATCACGCTTTTTTTGGTGAAAAACTGCCCTAACCACCCATATTTTTTCAAAAAATTTCGCTCCAGACTGATCTTCTATTAAGGATGGCCCTCTAATATGAGAGGGGGAGGGTTACAAAGCAAGGCGCTTGAGGGTTCAACTTATTCATGTAAGCTGACCATTATTCGGGTTCATTTCTTCGTCTTTTTCTTCTCCTCATCTAGACTGTCAGTCAAGACACACTGACTTCTGACTTTTGCTGCCAGACAGTCCGTTGTCACTTGCCCGATCGGGAAATATTGCTCAAACGAGCAACTTGTCCGATCAGGCAAGACTCTATCTTGGAAACCATAGGTCCTCTAACGGGTGGAAAGTGCTTATTCTTCTTCTCGCACATTGTATATTTATTGTGCATCAAAATTATATGTTCCACCTTTTTCCTTTCTCATGGAAGAAATGAAAAACAAATTTAGCTCAATATCGTTCATTTTATCTTTCCCGATCTGGCAATATTGCTAGTTCGGGCAAGGTCAGTATTGCCGGTTTCGGCAATATATCCTGCCAGATATATTGATTCATATACATTTATTTGTACTTTACGCACATTTATATGCGTACGAAGCCTTACTAGAAAGTTTTTTTTTATATAAGTACATAAGAAGGTTAAGTGTAGCAAGAATTGCGATTTATGATAAATAAAACTGTGTCAAATAAGTGT